GGATCTTAACAAGCCGTGTAAGCGCCCGCAGGGAGGGTGTCCAGAGGCCACCAGGCTCTTCTCAGTTGTGCCCAGCGATAGGGCAAGAGGCAATGGCCACAAACTGAAGCACAGGAAGTTCTGCCTGAATTCAAGGAAAAAATTCTTGCCAGTGAGGGTGATAGAGCACCAAACAGGCTGCCCGGAGAGGTTGTGGAATCTCCTTCTCTGGAGAGCCTCAAAATCCACCTGGATGTGATCTGTGCAATATGCTCTAGGTGATTCTGCTTGTGTGTGTGGGCAGGGTTGGACTAGATGATCTTCAGAGGTCCCTGCCAACCTCAAGCCTTCTGTGATTTTTTTTTCCATCCTGCTCTGCCAGCCCCTGGCTTTGGGACTGACACCCGTCATGTTTGCAGAGCCCATCCCACAAGCCTCACAGGTCCCTGCAGCCCTTGGTCCATCACAGCTAGGGCTTAGGATCCCTTTGAAGATGTGGGAGGTCTTTGGGTAGCTGTTGGATGATAAAATAGTTCAGAAGGCTCTAAAACTGGACCATGGTATCTCATCTCTTTGGCTGTCTAGTGTTCCATAACTGTTTCCCCATCATCCCGGGAACTGTTTCCCTGGGAAATGCCCTCGGCTGTTTCTGCTCTGCACCGTGCTTCCATCAGTCCCAACGCTCTCTGCCAGGCGCTGTCCTGTGGCTGGTGTGGCCATGGGACAGGAGCCCAGCAGAGGCTTCTGGAGGAAGCAGAGGTGCTACCTGCAATCCTGGGTAATGAGGAAGCTGCTACAATCCCGTGAAGCCCTTTGTACCCCCTCAGCATCCAAGCGAGCAGAGCACTGTCTAAGTTTCGGGTGGGTCAACACTGCAGAAGCTCCCACCAGGTGTTTGCAGGCTCCTGCACTGGCCATTGCAAAAATCTCCTGCTGCAACTGTGCAACACGAGGTGCAGTGGAGCTGGCAGGGAGCAGCTGAGTGGTCAGGGAGCTCATGACGTTCCCAGTCATCTGCAGAGCAGGAAGGGAGGTTGCTGATCCCATTCATGTGCAGCCAGAAGCCCTTGGCCTGTGTGTGGGTGCAGGTTTGTGGCACTGCAGGAGTCACACAGTGATGGCACCCACGTGCCATGGTGCAATCCATGGGGTACAGCCCAGACAGCAGGGAGCCTGACCTAACTAACACCTTGCTGCAGACTGAGCACACACAAACCCCCGCTGGGCGCTTCTGGGGAGGTGCTGCCAGGGATAGCACGGAAGAGCAGGGAGTCCCCATAGCACTGCACAGGGCAACCCTCCCTGTCCTGTCCTGCACAGAGTGGAGCAGAGCAGCGATCCCTGTTCTGCACAGAACAGAGTAGCGTCCCCTTCCCTGCACTGCACGGCGCGGCAGTCCCTGTCCTGCACAGCGTGGAGCAGAGCAGCATTCTCTTCTCCGTCCCAGCTGCTCCTCGCTGTGGTGATATCGTCCATCACAGCTCCCACTGCAGCTTCACTCTTTAAAGCCAGGCACAGCAGCAGGACTTGGAGAACTTCTCAGAGCCACTTGCAGATCAGCCAGTCTGGGAGCAGCTGGTTCATGAGCAGCAGCAGCACTGTACTGTGGCCGCTCAAGTCTTCATAGCCACCCAGTGCTGGAGAATGCTCTGAACCAGCTTTGTTGCACTGAAGAACTGTCTGGAAAGGGGACTCCTGAGCCAGTAACTCCCGAGTGGGCTGTAATCACTGTTCCTTTTCTAGCTCTGTAAGAACCGTTTGCCAGGTCAATGAGTCAGGAGATGTCTGAGTACGGCGAATTTCCTTGTGAGGAAACTGCCTTTGTGACAGGCAAATAAGACTTGTATCCTTACTTTATACACACACACATATATATGAGTGTCGTGTGTGTGTGTGTGTGTGTGTGTGTGTATATATATAATATATATATGTGTGCATATACATAAAAAATGTGTGTGCATACAAGAATGCATGTCTATGCATATATATATATGTTTCAGATGCCTTTTACCAGGTGTGTGTGTGTCCACATGCACCTGTAAGTGTGTGGGGGGGCGAGGAGCAAGACACCTGCTGGTCCCACTCCAGGTCACCAGACAACAGGACAGGTCGGACTATGGGAAGTTCCCAATACCCACAAGGAAAAAAAACGCTACCAGGAAAGCAGGCAGTCACATCAGGCAGAGGAACAGGGGCCCCAAAAGGCTGTGGGTTCTCTATCCTTAGAGATGCTCTGTCAGGCAGGGGACTTCCTTGGCTCCCCGATCCCAGTGGACCCTCTCTGAGCGGGTCTGGACCAGTGACACCAGAGGTCCCACCCTGGCTACCTGGGTCTGTCACACAACTGCTGCAGATCTTCACTGCGTCCTGGCTCTGGGATTCATCCAACTCAAAAAAATGTTCTTTAATTCTCAAAGTCCCAAATAAAAGTTTGAGAACTTTTGGTTCTCAAATCCTGTCTGCGGTCTGTGTGCCAACAAGTGTGTGTCCATGGGAGCAATGGGAGCACTGTAGCCAGGGCTCAGGTGGTGCATGTGGCCAGTGCAGCAGGGGTCAGTGCCAAGATAAACTGATGTGGGATTGGGATGCATTGAGATACATCAAAACACAGCATTTGGCCAGAAACACCCACTGGAGGTGGGTTAGGTTACACCCCACCTCCACTGGAGCGGAGGAGAGGGTGGAGGTCGGGGGTGTAACCTAAAACAAAATCCAGCTCCTTTCAGCGGGGCTGCAAGCTTTTCTCAGAGCTCTGTGCTAATTCCTGCACGGCGCTGCGAGAGGCTGAGCGCCCGCAGCGGCGGCGGCACAGACCCCTCGTGTGGTCACATCGGTAGTGACAGAGCAGGGCTCCGGGCTGCACAGCCGCTCGGCCTGGGCGGGCCTGCCGGGGGCCGCTCGCACCCCGTGTGCGGCTGCTGCTTGGGGGAGACGAGCCGAGTTCCTCTGCCTCGGACAAGCCCTGAGCTGGGGAGGAGCCGCCTTCATGAGGGTCTTCCAGCACAGGCAGCTCCTGAACTGCTCATCCAGGGGGAATGACCAGTACCCAAGGGCAGGACACCTGCGACTGGTGCTAGCGGGCACCTACCTCCCCCATGCAGTGTAGATGCAGCAGATGCTGACATTGGAGTAGCCCAAGCCCATGTTGGAGCTGCTGAGGGCAACACCAGGGCAGGCAGGTCCCGGGGTGCTCAGTCCTGTCCAGCTCGGCAGCACTGGATGTGCCTGGCCCCAGCTGCAGGAGGGAGGGTCTGCTCTGCTGCCTGAGCGGGTGCTGGTGAAACCTGGCCAAGATCCTTCCACCTGCCTCAGGTCCTGAGCACCCACCTTCCTGGAAAACAGGCACCTCCTGGGCAGCTCAGCGTGCGGCCTTGCCCAAGGGTTACTCCTCACTGAGCTACATTGCCCACACAGGGCAGGAGAGCCTCCCGCCAGCTTGCTGAGGCGGCCTCCGCACCAGGACTCAACATGCAGCCCAGGCACAGGACTGTGCTGCAGGTAAGAGGACAAGCTGGACACAGGACCAGGGTCACAGGGCCAGGGAGCCTCCCCCAAGCAGGTAGGATGGGCCTGCCCTTGCTGTGGTGGCCAGGAGTGCCTGTGTCCAGAAGGGTGAGGTCACCACTGGCCACCAAGGGTTTCTCCCACTCTTCAGGAGCTGTTAGGGCTGACGGAGGTGTCAGCTCACTGTGCACATGGGCTGGGCAATGCTCCCCAAACCTACAACAGTCTTGCATAGCTGGACATAGCAAGTTAGACACGGCTGAGCTACAACCACATGCCAGTGCAGGACTGGATACTCATCACACTCTGGCATTGGGCAAAGTCATCTGAGATACTCCTTGGCTTCAGAAGCAGCGTGCAATAGGCCTCATGGGAAAACTATTCCTGCCTGGTTAGCGTGCAAGTGACAGCCCCTCATCAGGGACACCCATAACCCCTGCATGAGTGCAGATAGAGACCCAGCAGCAGTCCCAGATTGGGACAGGAAACCCATATCCAGGCCCTCCCTGCTCATAACTGCAGCAGCCCCAGCAGCACCATGGCAAGAGAAGAAGCTCCTGGCACTGCAGCGGTCGCACCAGTGAGGCACCCGAAGCAGGGCAAGAGACTTTCCCTCCTCTCCATTCAGCTGTGGAGTTATGAGTTACAAGGAGCCCAAGCTACAGTCATCCCCATCCCCTTCCCTTACAGGAAGGAACTGGAGGGTTGCTTGGTGTACGAAGGAGGAGGAAAGGCTTCAGGGCAGGTCTCGTCCAGCAGGCAGGGGGTCCCCATGGCATGGAGGCCTTGGCAAGTTTGGAGCAGCACTATATAGCTGCTCGTAGCATGGAGGGGTTTCATGTGTATTGCACCAGGCACAGGATCAAGGGGCAGGCGTCCTATTGCAGTGGACAGGGGCCATGGGGCCAGGTTGGGGTCTCTCCTCACCAGAGGTGTGTGTGGAGCTCAGCCTCCAGCGAGAGCAGCAGGGAGTGGATCTTTGTGGGGCCGGTCCGGGCCCCGGGACCGGCAGGACGGGAACAGGGGCGGTCGCCCAGGGTGGGAGGTGGAGGGGACACGGC